TAGGTCAGGGCCACAAATCACTCTTCTGGGACACAAACTTGGGAGATTCTCCTGATGGCCTGCCAAATGTCTGTGTACCTCAGGATGTTCAGATGACACAAGGCTTAAGATGTTTATATGCTAGGAGGATTTGTATTTTTAAAAAAATAATTTCATTGGGGGGCTCTTACAGCTCATAACATTCCATACATCAATTATTTCAATCATATTTGTACATATGTTGCCATCATCATTTTTCTAAACATCTACTTTCTACTTGAGCCCTTGGTATCAGCTCCTCTTTTTCCCCTCCCTATCCCCCTTGATAACTTAAAAATTATGATTGTTTTCATGTCTTACACCGACCGTTGTCTCCCTTCACCCACGTTTCTGCTGTTTATCCCCCTGGGGGTGGATTATGCATCAATCATTTTGATCAGTTCCCTCTTTCTCCCCTCCCCCCACCTTCTCGCTACCCTCCTGGTATCACTAGTTCCAATTCTGTTCCAGAGGGGATTATCTGACCTAGATTCCATGTCTCCTGAGTTCTAATCTGAACCAGTGTACATGCTCCTGTCTAGTCAGAACTGAAGGGCAGGACTGGGGTCATGATAGTGGGGGGTGAGGAAGCCTCAAAGAATCAGAGGAATATTGCGTGTTTCATTGGTGTTATACTGTACCCTAGTTGACTCATCCCTTCCTTGTGATCCTTCTGTGAGGGATGTCCTACTGTCTACAGATGGGTTTGGGGTCTCTGCTCTGGCCCCCCTCATTCTCAACAATATGTTTTTTGTTTGTTTGTTTGTTTATTTGGGGTCTGCTGGTACTTGTTACCTGATTCCATTGACACCTCATGATCGCAGAGGTTGGTGTGCGTCTTCCATGTGGGCTTGTTGCTTCTCTGCTTGATGGCCACTTGTTTATGTTCAAGCCTTTAAGACCCCAGATGCTATATCTTTGATAGTTGAGCACCATCAGCTTTCTTCACCACATTTGCTTATGCACCCATTATGTCTCCAGCAATCATGTTGGGAGGGTGAGCATCACAGAATGCCAGGTTGTTAGAACAAAGTGTTCTTGCATTGAGGGAGGGCTTGAGCAGAGGCCCAAAGTCTATCCGCTTCCTCAGTGTATTACCATATAAATATATGTACCTAGGCCAATGCCGCTATTTTATGAATTAACGTATTTACATAAGTGCACTCCTATGTTTATACCTGTATCCATAGCTTTGCTTCCTGGATCTTTCCTCTGTTTCCTTTTACCTTCCTCCTGTCCCATCCTCACACCTGCCCTTCTTCTGCCTCTTAGTAATTCCTCTCGGCTAGATTGCTGTTGTTCTAACACCACAGGAATCTTCGATGTCCTCCTTGATGTTACTTTTAATTCCCTAGTTGTTCCCCTGTCTATGGCATTGTTTGCTCACTGCTCCTTCCCGCACCTCCTCCTCCCACCAGGCCCCTTCAGAACCGTCAGTCCTATTGCTTTCTTCTCAGGCTTGCTTCCCACGTCTATCTGATATTGGTAGGCAAACAATAATAACAGAGGCAAAAGGAAAAGAAAACCAAAGACTGAAGAAAAAGAAAAAACAAACAAAAAAAGACTAGCAACCTTCCCCCCACCACCCCCACCCCCCCAGAAAAAAACATACATAATTCCCCGTCTATCCACTAACCCTTATGACTATCTTCCCACTGGTCCTGGGAGGTTCCAGGAACTGCCCCTCCCTACATGAAATCAATTTCGGGGGCTCCTCAGGGGTTTTGTGTCTTTGCTTTGCTCCTGTTGCTGGTCTGTTATGTTCCCTTCTTGGTTTGTCCCACTGTGGGGGTGGTCAAACCAAACACTCCCCACTGTGTGTCCCAATATTATCCTCTGACTTAGGAAGACTCGTATTTTAATGAGGATTATTTAAAACAAAAACAGGACCACAGAGTCTTCCTAGCCATGTATGTTCAATTGCCCTGCTACCACTTCTGTTTTTATAAACCACGAATTCCAGTGTGAACAGCTTGTCCAAGAGGGCTGAAAAATAGGTGATGAAGTTTAATTTGGTGAAAGGGCCCAAGAGGCAGGGAGCCAAGCAGAGCAAACGAACAAAACAAAACTGTACTAAATGAATGGAGTTTAAGTGGTAGAGTTTTAGGTATTAATCCTTGATGGTAAAAAACAACAACAACCTTATGGAGAGGTAGACAGCTTCTTGGCAGCCTTAAATCCCACCATTGGACAAGATGGCCCTGTAGATCCTAGCAGAGCTGCCACTGATGAGGCTAGGCATGCCTGCATTTGCAGGTAAAGGCGAATCTCCACTATTGCCCCATAGTTTTCCCCTGGAGAAATGATGCCGTCCTGATTGTGACTAACATTTTCTCTCTGTAGTGGGCATGAATGTTTTTTTAAAATCATTTTACTGGGGGCTCTTACAGCAGTTTAAAAAAAATAATTTTATTGGGGGCTTGTACAACTCTTATCACAAACCATCCATCCATCCATGTATGTATGTGTCAAGCACAAATGTGCCAAGCACATTTGTACATATGTTGTACATACATATTATCATTCTCAAAACATTTTCTTTCCACTTGAGCCCTTGGTATCAGCTCCTCATTTTTCCCAGCTCTTACAGCTGTTCTAACAATCCATACATCATGTCAGGCTCATTTGTACATATGCTGCCATCATCATCCTTTTCAAAGCATTTTCTTTCTTTCTACTTGAGGCTTTGGTATCAGCTCCTCTTTTTTTTTTCCTCCCTTTCCCACTCTCATGAGCCCTTGATAATTTATAATTATAATTTTCCTATCTTATACTGTCTGATGTCTCCCTTCACCCATGTTTCTGAGGTTCATCACCCTGGGGTGGGGGTGTTATACACTGATCATTGCAATTGGTTCCCTCTATCTACCCCCACCTTCCCCCTACCCTTATGGTATCACTACTCCCATTATTGTTCCTGAGGGGTTTATCTGTCCTGGATTCCATGTGTTGAGAGCTCTTAGCTGTACTAGTGCACATGCTGTGGTCTAGCAAGATTTGTAATGTAGAATTGCCACCATGATAGTGGTGGGGAGGAAGCATTAAATAATTAGAGGAACGCTGTATGTTTCATTGGTGCTAAACTGCACCCTGGATGGCTCCTCCTGCCTTGTGACCTTTCTAGGAAGGGATGTCCTATTGTCTACAGATGGGCTTTGGGTCTCAACCCCGTACTGCCTTGTTTGCATTGATATGATTCTTTTTGTTCTGGGTCTTCTGATGCCTGGTAACTGATCCCATTGACACCTCGTGATCACACAGGCTGGTGTGCTTCTTCCTCGTGGGCTTTGTTGCTTCCCAGCCAGGTGGCCGCGTTTTTATCTTCAAGCCTTTAAGACCCCAGATGCTATAGCTTTTCATAGCAGGGCACCATCAGCTTTCTTCACCACATTTGTTTATGGACCCATTTTGTCTTCTGTGATATTGTTGGGAAGGTGAGCATCACAGAATGCCAGGTTATTAGAACAAAGTGTTCTTGTGTTGAGGGAGTACTTGAGTAGAGGCCCAATGTCTGTCTTATACCTTAATACTCAACATATAAATATATGTACATAGATCTATGTCCCTATTGTTATATATAAGTATATTTACACGTGTACATGCCTGTATTTAAACCCCTATAAATGTCTTTTGTCTCCTAGTCCTTTTCTCTATTTCCTTTTACTTTCCTCTTGGCCCACTATCATGTTTGACCTTCATTCAGCTTTCAGTAATTCCTCTTGGCTACATTACACTTGATCAAGCCCCAAGCATTCTATGCCCTCTTCACTTTCGATTTTAGATCACCTGTTGTTCCCTTGTCCCCCTTTCCTTTCCCCACCTCCCCCTCTCCCATGTCCCGCCGGAGCCCGGGCCCATTGTTTCTCCTCAGGATTGTTTATCCTACCTATCTTATATAGATAGACATGAGAAAAAGGAAAAAAAAAAAGCCTATAAATAGTTCCAGGTCTGTCTGTTGAGTCTGATAAGGTTCCAAGCCCTGCCCCTAAAGTCTATTTTGGGGATTCCTCAGGGACTACATTGCTGTGCTCCCCTTGCTGCTCTGTTGCAGTCCCTTCGTGCGTCACCCACGTTGGGGGTGTGTGTGTGTGTCAGATCAGGTACAATTCCCACACTGTGTCTCCGGTGTTGTCCCCGCTAGTGCTATGGGCAAGTGAGGGGACGTTATGTCTCATGGTGGGTCTGGCCCTACGGTCTTCTCTGTGCATTGGCTGCTCCAAGCAAGGAATATCATCCTTGGACTTGGTGGGCCAGAATGCGGTTCACCCTCTCTCCTTCCCTCTTAGTTTGCTCCTGTGTGTTCTGAGCAGACCTGCGCCTTGCCCCTCTCCCAAGGCTCTATCTTCAGTGCTGTCCTCTGTAGTGCATGCTTCTGGGGAGGGGGCCCATATAGCTGGGTTGGGGCCGCAGACCTCTCTGTTGGTTCGCTGCCTCATGCTGGCATGTAGTGGGCATGAATTTATTTCCAGGTGTTACTTGGAAAGAAAATGGAGGATTACAATCCTAGATTTCCCACTTTCCTACTTGGACAAGCGACTGAGCCTCAGGAAACCTCAATTTCCTCAATGTAAACCATGTGATATAACAACATTTAACCCTGAAGTTAAAATGACACTCTGAAAAAGCTTGGTAAAGGGCAATATTCTGTACAAGTGAGAGTCATAATACAGTCTCCTGGTGACCTGAGCTTTTCGGTGGCAGGGCTGAGGTGGAGGAATAAAGAGGGTGTAATTTAGAAAAATCCTGTGCCTATACCTGGACACTGATAAGCTAGATATTCAATCTCAAAAGAGATCTAAAAGATGTGTTTGTTTCTCTGTAAAGTTGAGAGAGAGAACTGGAGGGGTTTTGGGCTTGTTTGTTTTCTTTTCTGTCTGAGTGTGCCTGGAGGGTGGGATGGCAGGACAGCCACAGCAAGGGTGGCAGAAACCAACGAGCAGACTGGAACGTAGACTTTCCTTCCACAGAGGGTGATCCCTTACCAGGTTGATGCCATTAGCTTCTATGTGCCTGAGGAGGGTGCTGGCCACATGCTCTGTGTCCCACTGCACTCCTGGGTCATCTGGGAAAGCTCTGAAAAGGAGAAGCACACATGAACACCTTTTTTTTTTTTTTAAACCTCCAACAGTTTTATTGTCATATAATTCACATATATAGGATTCAAGAGTTCAATCACATCAAGAATAGTTGTATAATCATCACCACAATCAGTTTCAGGACATTTCTTCATTCTTGTACTTATCATTATTAGTTCCCCATTTCTGCCTAACCTCCTCTACCATACTCCTAAGGATCCATTAATCCAGTTACTGTCTGTAGCAGTTACATAATCTCCTGTCAACTTGAGTGAAGGGGTGAGTCTGGCCTGTCAATCAGGTCATAGCCAACGATGCCTCTGTGTGGGCATGGCCTTCTCCTGAGGATTCTGGGAACTCCTGTCTTTCTCCCTGGAGGCAAGACACACCCTTTCTTTCCAGTCCTGATGACAAGCCACATGGAGGCACACTGAAGGCAGCCAGATCCCTGGAGATGCTTCCACCACCACTGGATTCACAAGATTTTCTACTCACAGGATTGTAATCTTACTGCATTCGGCATTATTGTATGTGTTGTGAGTCTGAAGAAGAATCCATGGGCTAATATTGGACTTAAGGGCTAATTTTGAACTTATGGACTTGATCTGGACTGGGTTGGGGTGTTTTATTGATACACAATTACGTCTTGATATAAAATTCTCTCTTGCACATATAATGAGTGTCAATTAATTTGTTTCTCTAGTCAATCCAGACTAACACACTGTCTTTATAAATATACCTATTCTGGATTTCATACACAGGAAAAAAAAGTTAAAAAACAAACATCAAACATTAAAAACTAGAACAAATTTAAATGGATCTTAAGGGAGATCAATTGATAGGGTGCTAAATTTTAGCCTAAGTGCATCTGCAAGAATCTACTTTCTAACCAGACTTCAACCCGGTACTCCGAGATGTGAATGCAACATACCAGCATGAAGCAGGGAACCAATCCCAACTACATGGACAGGTGCTCCTCCCCACGGAAAATTTTACTTCAGAGGACAGCACTGAAGCTACAGCTCAGGGAGAGGGACATGTCTGATCAGAGCACATGGGAACAAATGAAGGGGGAGGAAGAGAGAGTGGAGCACATCCTGGACCACCAAGCCTTAGGACGATATCTCTGCTCAGAGCAGCCAATGCACTGAGAGGATCATATGGCCGGCCCCACTATG